TGAGGCTTTAAGGGATTTTGGTAGCTTAGGTCGGTGTTTAAGGCTTTAAGGGGCACTCAGGTTGGTGTTGGAGGCTAAGGTAGTGTTTAGTAGCTCAGGTCAGTGTTTGAGGCTTCAAGAGATGTTGGAGGGCAATGATCAGATTAGTATTAGAGGCTTTGATCAGCCTAATTTAAGTGCTTAGGTCTAGTTTAAGGCTCTTGGTATTTTGAGGTGCTTGGGAGAGGCTTTTAGTGTTTGGTGGTGCTCAGGTCAGTGTTTGAGGCTTAAGGAGTGGAGAATTTTGGTAGCTCAGGTTAGTGTTTGAGGCTCTAGGGATTTTGGAGAGCAAATGCTCAAATCAGCATTAGCGGCTTTGATCGGAGCATTGTGCTTAGGTTCGATTTAAGGCTTTTGGTATTTGGTAGCTCAGATTGGTGTTTGAGGCTTTAGGTGATTTTTGAAGGCAATGCTCAGATTAGTTTAGAGGCTTTGATCAGGGCATTGTCCCCAGTTTAGGTGCTTAGGTCCGATTTAAGGCTTTTTAGTGTTTTGAGGAGCTCGGGTGAGGCTTTTGGTTTTTGGTGGTGCTCAAGTTAGTGTTTGAGGCTTAAGTAGTGGGCAATTTTAGTAGCTCAGGTCAATGTTTGAGGCTTTTTAATATATAATATATAAGACTAAATTCGGGTCCTTATGCTCTACCTTTATTTTATTGGAGAAAGACTCGACCCTTTTGGTCGTTTTACACTATAAAGCTACGCAACCATACGCACACTCCTCCCGACCTTCAAACCGCTCGACCTAGGGTATAATCACTCAACTTAAGCTTTATCAATTAAGCCCAGTCCATCCGGCACTCAAAATGCTTTAAGCCTAGTCCATCCGGCACACACTACAAAACCAGTTTTCAACCAAAGTCCAATCCATCTAGAATCCAAAGTCTGGTCCATCCGGCACCTCATAAGCCCATTCTAAGAATGACACTCAAAACACTATCATCCTAATCGATGGTAGAACTTCGTGCATCCTAATCCTTATACAAATGAGATAAGAAGGCATATTTAAGATTTTAGCCTAAGTAGCAGGCCCCCGACCGAACTGACTGGTCGGGATCTAGGAAAATATGTCACATGACCCAGAATCCTCGATAAACGATGCTATAGTCGGGCTCCCCTCCGAATTATGCCTTTTTCAATATTATGCTTTCAATTATTTGTCTATAATTGTCATGCATTATAAGTATGATCTTGCATCGATAACATTACGCCATTCATGCAAACCGATATTTTAATTGCTTGATCAATTTCCAAATCATTGATTCATATGAAAAAAGGCTGAAAACCTAGTCTTCAAACCCAATAATTTGAGGCAAGTGCTTTTATCCTCAAAGGCAAATTGAAAATGGAGTCAATCACGAGATTTTTACCTTATAATTTCTCCAAAAACAAAAACAAATTAAGATGGCGACTCTAAATACATCACACATCTGTCAAAGCGCTCCAAAGAGCCGATCCGATCACTTAAGCACTAAATTGAGCCATAATCAAACAAAAGGAATCGTAAGGAGTTCCCGTCATTCTGTGAGAAACCGACCAATGGGCCCGTCTGGATAATACTCCGTCCTTCGTATCTTTCCCATGGCACTCGGGAGGCGCCTCATAGAAGCATGAATCAAAGATATCAAGGTGAAAGGATGAATTTCATAAAGATTAATTATCTTTTGATAAGTTCAAAAAAAATTCAATGAAGAACGAAAGAGAATTCGTCTCTCTTGCAATAAAACATATAAACTGAAATCTGTCAATAACCATCCTTATAATACTGAAAACTAAGTATTTATAAGCTAAGGAACCCTAAAAATTAAATAAAACACGAAGTCAATTTATGGGTAGATTGATGGGAATCATTTCTAAATAATTTTGCAAACGGAATTCAGTTCGTGTACCAATTGTAATCCTATATTCGATTGGGTCTGTGATTGTTAGTGTTTGGCTTAATCTACTAAAGAATTGAGTTTGTTAATCAGATCGGTTGCATCTTGAACAATGGGCATACTCTTTGTTGGTCCTTATTATCAATAATAAGATATAATACTAATAAGAGTATATTAGAAAAAATATAGGTAAAATTTATTGCTTAAATAATTTTTATTTTACTCTGTGGGAGGATAGAAATATGTCTATGATAGTGGGTCTATTTAAAAAAAAATCAAAACTCAATTGCAGATGATAAGGATAAGATTTACCTACACTTAGTGTATGGTCAATCCTATACATTAAGCAAATCAAAAAAAGAATTTTTTTTTTATAAAATATTGCTGTTTTATCTTTTGTTCTCAAAGTATAGTTAGAAATACCCTTATTTGAACTAAAAAATTATTTATAATTAGTTCTGTGTATAAGTTCAAACACTGTGTGTATGTAAGTAGGTAACAATACTTTACATGCATTAACACTAAATTATATTATGTTATATTATATTATTATAACAGTTGCATAAAAGGAAAATCTTCACGCTAGTAGTAGTGCGAGCAGATATTAACTCATATTATATACATATATATATACTAAAAGTTTACGTGGAGAATCGACGTTGTATAATCATTTTTAATTTAGCTAGCGATTCTCTTGCAAGATAAGTGATATTTATGCTATATTTATGTCGTGTGTATGTAAGTTTATGCTGGACTATCTATCAAATTTGCAAAAAGTGCTTTTGGCACAAGTAAACTAATTATGCACTCCAAGATGAATAACTATTTAGTTCCTATACTTTGGCTAAATAACTAATCCATCCCTAATAAAATAACTCAAAATTTTAATTTCATAGATTTTTTATTTAAAAACAGAATTTTAATATCAACCAATGAGACTGTACAATAAAATATTTTATTACTGCTTAACGGGACTCATAAATCAATTTGAAATCTTCAAAATCAAGTGAAAATCGGATTAAATTCTGATTTGGACCAAATCCGGATCAAATCGAACTGGGATTACCCAGCATCCGCTAGAAGTTTACTTTTTCTTCTTTTTCTTTCTTTCCTTTCTTTTCTTCTCTTCTCTTCTTCGTTCCAGCGGCACTCAGCCTTCTCTCTCTTCCTTTCTGCCTTCTGGTCACCTGAGCCAATCGGCGCCACAACTCGTCATCGCCGCGCGACCAGCATCTCTCGTTCTCCCTTTGTCTCCGTTTCTGGTGAACGCAGCAGCGCCTCTGCCCTTCACAATCTCAGTTTCGATCGCTGCTCCTTGCGATCTCAAGCCACCGACCGCCGCTCAAATTTGCGCCTCCTTTTGCAATCGATTCCGGTGAGAGCTGCACCTCGAGCGAGCTGCGACTCCTTCCTTCTGGATAAACAGTAGCACTCTAGACAGTTCGTCTCGATCCTCTTTCCGGTGCTCTTTTGATTTTTCCGGCGACTCTTGCGTGGTCAGGTGACTGCGGTAGAACCGAGCTCTCTCTCTCTCTCTCTCCGTTCCGGCGAGCTCAGTTACTATTTCCGGCCAAACCAATCCGCAGTGAATATTTTGGGTACTTTCCCAATATATTTCATAAATATTAATTATAATTAAAGGGTTTTAATATATTTGAATAAAATGGTTATGAGTATTAATTTGACTAGAAAGCATTAATAGATTAAGGCAAATTTTAATTACTGTTAAATAAATTTAATTGAAAACTTGGTAATAATATTGATGGAAATTATAATATAGATTTAGGGTAGGTTGGACTAGATGGTTATATATTGTACATTAATCTATAAAAGAATAATTTAACCTCATAATTTAGTTTGAATTAAAGGTTAAGAATGGACCATAGATTAAGTGAAGTTATAAAACGAATTGCTTGAGACGTAATATGAAAATATGAATAGAGTAAGACCTATTATTTTAATAGGCAGGCAGAATTTACTGTGGAGCTAAAGTTATTTTAAAATGTTGTCAATATTATAATATGTAATTATCTTCGGATAAACCCGGATTAATAATCATATATCAAAATGAAAGAATAATTTATAACGTCCTGAATTAATTAATCTTTTCAAAAAAAAAAAGTCCTGAATTAATATATATTTGAGTGATGAATCGAAAGAGGAAACAAATTAAATATTTAACAAATTATTTTAGAGACCGTAAATAATTTAAGGAAAAATAAATTTTATTAATGGAGAGATAGCAATAATTTTGAGATTAGATATTCAAGCCTATACTAATAATTATTATGATTAAAGCATATCATTGAACTGTACAATTTTATAAATAAATAAGAGTTTCTTTAATATTAAAATTTGAAAACATTTTACTAAGTTTAATATTTTATTATTAAAATATATAATTAAAGAAGTGATGAATCGAAAGAGGAAACAATAAATTTTGAACAAATTATTTTAGAGACCGTGTAAATAATTTAGGATATTAATTAGGATTTAGATTTGTAGTTAGTAGCAATAATTTGAGATTTAGATATTCAAGCCTAATACGTAATAATTATTATGTAATTAAAGCATATATGAAACTGTACAATTTTAATATAAATAAGAGTTTCTTTAGAGTATTAAATTTGTGAAAAGCATTTTACAAGTTTAATCATTTTATATTAACAATATGATAATTAAAATTAAGAATAAAAAAAATTCAAGTTCCATCTTAATAGATCGAAGAAATAATGAAAATTTTTCTATAATTCCTCTGTGTCCATTTCTATATAAGTCAATATTTTAAAAAAAATACATTTTCATATATTTTATTATTAAAATATATAATTAAAATTAAGAATAAAAAAAATTCAAGTTCCATCTATAGATCGAAATATGAAATTTTCTATTAATTCTCTGTTCCATATTCTATATATCAATATTTTAAAAAATACATTTCATTTTAAATCTCACATTCTAAAATTTTGTTCCAAATTACAATTCGATTTGGAATTTCGATTTCTATTGTTATATTCCAAATCAATTCATACCCCTAGCAACAAATATTCATGGATTTTGAAAATTTACGGGAGAACAGACAATAAAATAAAGAAACTCAAAATTCTTTTCATGGTTTCTCATTTCCAGTTTCTTGGGCAGAATATATCTCGAAAGGTTAAGATTCAAAATAAGTAAAAAATAAGAAATGAAAAACAGTGAGGTAAAATAACAAAAAGAGCTTTTTTTTTTTCCCTCCATTATTTCTCTCTCGTTTCCTAAACTAATCACGCTCTTGGTGCTTCCATGGATGACAGTGAAATTGGGACAGCTAGTCCTTGATTTCTTTGCATTTCTATGTCAGTTGTTTGATTATCTTGGTCATTGCCCTCAATAGACTCTGGAATTGTCTCTGCTTCTTCTTCTTTGTATTCCTTGTACTTGCCCCACAGGACCAAGTAAAGTCCTGCTACAATCAATACACCACCAAGAACACTGCAACAATACAGAAATAAATGAAATTATTGGCTGATTAAATCAAATCAAGTTGTTGGATATATATATATATATATATGACTAAGATCGTAAGAAGAAATTACCCTCCAAGATAAATCTTTTCCGCTAGAATGAAAGAACCCATGATTGCCACTACGATCATCATCAGAGGGCTAAAAGCAGTGACAAAGACTGGCCCTCTTTTCTGCATTACAAGTCCTTGCACATAATAGGCAATGCTTGATGACACGATTCCCTGTACATGAAAAATATTGCTTTTCTTTATTAATATTACATAAATATATATATAATATTTTTACATCCAAAAAAAATATATGATATTATATAAAATATATATAATATTATATAGTGAGGGACAAAGAGAGAGACTTACAGCATAAGCAGCAGCCAGAAGATTCATGTCCCAGCCAATGGCCCAAGCAGAGGCCTTATGCTCCATTACAATGGTGACAACTATGGACTGGAGTGTCCCCATAAAGCACACAAGGGAAGTTAGTGAGAGCTGAGCTGAATACCTCTTAAGTGTTACTGCCTGTAAAATTGCAATCACGATAAAAAATAAAAAATAAATAAATAAATAAATAAAGCTTTTACATATTAGCAATTATATTTATTATTGGAAATTTCTTTATTTCTTTACCTGGAGAATGAAGAACGAGGCCCAGGCAAGAGTGGCCAAGATGAGAAGAATAGAACCCTTAAGCCAGTCTTTGTCATCTGATCCAGTGGTGTCAGGAAGAGAGGATGTATGGGTATGGACATGCTCAGACCAAATCAAATTGATGACGTGACCTTTGTATAATGTCATCAACATAGCTCCACCCACTGTTACAACAGTCCCAATCACCTTTGCTTGGCATCTCACTTTCTTTATGTCCACTTTCTCCATCCTGTAATTTTGTTTTCAAGTACATCCATTTGTCAGCCAAAACAAAAATTGGAGAAAAACAGAGATTAGAATTACTATAATGATAAATACCTGCAAAGAACGGCCATCACAAATGTCATTGCAGGTAGCATGTTGCTCATGGCACAAGAGAATGTAGGAGAAGTGAATTTAAGCCCCATATAGTAGAAGTTTTGATCAATCACAGGCCTGTTAATTAGAACAAGATGACAAAACTTCAATACATGCACTTTATCTTCTACTAGTTAAATTAACTATTTACTAATGTAAGAACGAAAGTATACGAACCCAAGAAGACCCAGAACAAAGATTTGCAACAAAATGGGAAATGTAATCTTTGGCCTCACTTTCCTGTATGTAAGCAAACATAAGTGAATAAGTATTGGCTTTCTCTTGAGTTGTGATTATATAGGTACATAATTGCTGTTTATGTTAATATATATACCTCTCAAGAACAATAGCGAAAGGAGCAATAACAGCAGTGGCAAAGGCATGCCGGTACACGACTAGCACATAATGGCTCATTCCACCGTTGAGGGAAACCTTAGTGATTATATTCATGCCGGCATAGCCGAATTGTAGAGATATCATGGCCATGTAAGGCTTACACCTTTGAATAAAATTGGCCAAGCGTCCATTTCCCTCCATTTTTCTGTTTTCTAGATAAGGGCCTTGTTCTGAAAGAGAAACAAGAATAGGAAAAACAAGAACTCAAGGAAGACAAGAGAGGAAGAACACTTCAACTTGCTTGTTGCTCCTAGTGAAAAAGCTTTGTAATAAGGTGGCTATATATAGACTCTGCAAGAGCAGAAAGTGGGGCCTTTCATCCAAAATAGTTTTAAGGTTTCTGTTTCAAGGATAAGACTTGATGCCGGATTATATACGACAGGATAATCAAACGGGTTACATAAATTCTGTGTCTTATATTCCATTTTTTGTTTATTGACAAGAATACTTTATTCTTGTTTAATGAAATTAAATTTATATCTTAATATAAAATATATAAAAATTAAATTTATTGTATTCTGAGCCTAGTCATATTCTTTCACATTGATCTACTGTATTTACAATTTTTTTTTTTTCATCAAGAAGTCTAACATGCGAGGAGAATATTATGAGCTACAAAACAAGGATAGTTGTTCCGTTTACTCACTAACTTGGTGACAACTCTTGTGATTGAAAGGTGTCAAACCTAAAAGCTCACTCCCCACATTTAGTAATACGATTTTAAAGATATTAAATATTCAAATGAGTAAATTACTATTTAATTATCCATGTAGACTTTAATATACTAGTTAGAATTTTTATTTTAAAAATTTTAATTACATAGTTCCTTAATTTTATCTCGGTTACTACTTAAATAAACTATTTATTCATTCCGTTAAATTTAGTATTAGTATGAAAGATTAAGTAGTGTAACAAGTTGCACACCCAGACATAATCTAGTGGTAAATGCATATACGACCTGATAATAAAACCGGGTTCGAATCTCCTTTCCTCAATGCTCAAAAAAAAAAAAAAAAAAAAAAAAAAAAAATTGCATATACGACCTGATAATAAACCGGGTTCAATCTCCTTTCCTCAATTGCTCAAAAAAAAAAAGAAAAAAAAATAAAATAAATGAAAGTAGTGAGTAGAAATACAAGAGTTAGCTGTATAATTAAATTTCTAGACAGATAACTTAAAATTGCAATTTGAATTATAACTTAGTTCTTCTCTAAAAAGAGAGAAGAGAAAAGTATACTAGTGGAGTCTATAATCGAAATGTATATGTTTTGTCTTTTTCAATTAAAAAAAAAAAAAAAAAAAAAAAAAAAAGAAAGTAGTGAGTAGAAATACAAGAGTTACTGTATAATTAAATTCTAACAATAAACTTAATGCATTTGAGTATAACTTAGTTCTTCTCAAAAAGAAGAGAAGAGAAAAAGTATAGCTAGTGGACTAAATCGAAATTTATGTTTGTCTTTTTCAATTTCATGTAACTAGCAAGTACATTTATCAAAGATAATAGTGTCATTTTACTACCAATTAAAAGAAAAACAAATAGAAAGAATTAAATAGTATAAGGGAGATAAAACTAAAGACTATACAATTAAAATTTTAAAATAAAAATTTTAATCAGCATTTTTAAAAATAATTAAAAGATTAAATAATAATTTACTTTATTTTAAATTTTTGATTATTTAATTCTTTTTTTTTTTGCTTATGCATATTTTTTATATTGAGTTGAGAGTCGTATTAGATAAAATTTTTCCATAATATTTTTAAATTTCAAAATCTAATCTTACAGGTAAGATTCGTATATAAATCCAGTGCATTCCCATTCATAATTTTCTCTTCCTATGATAACAAATGATGCGTAAAAAAAAGAACAAAAACAAAAATATTGGTTTTAATAATCTCAATCTGCTTCATGTAATTGAATATTGTGTTTAGCAATTGAAAATAGGAGATATCAATATATGAAGGGTGGTGTGGATTGCACGTGGCAACAAATAGATAGGGAGATTGGATCCACCTGCATTAGCCTAGTGGTAAAGGATGTGAGAGGTAACGAAAGAGGGTTGAGTTTGGTGCTTGCTGATGCCAAAGGAAAGAGAAGAAGAGAAGAAATAGAAGAGGAAGTGGTAGTGGTGGTGGCGGCCCACCCACGTCAGCTTGGTTTAGACGCGGCACTACGACGCATCTTTTATCGCAGTAGGGAAGATCAATATGAGTTATATTATGTTTAATTTTTTAATGGTCCAAAAGAAATAGAGGTGATGATTAAGAATGGAAGAGAGGCCGTGATCCATTAATTTTGGACTGTACATATTTAAATTTGTTAAAGATTTTTATTTAATATGCCTCTCAAGTTGATTTAAATTTTACTTTCTATACTAATTTAACTTAACTGTTGATAATTTTATTATGAGATATTATATAATAAATATCAATTTTTAAAATTTATTTTAAAAAATATGAGTTTGACTTTGAGATTGAAATTTTTGTCATTTACTGTATATATTTACTATAGTGTCCTTTTTTTGGTCGGCTGCTATATTTTTTAATATTTTAATATTTTTTTTTCAATGTTTCTGTTTCTCTTACAAGGTCATTTTTTATATTAATGAAATTTTTTGGCCGAATTTATTATTATCTTAATCGGTATTTTTTTCTTACATTTTGTTAAAATTGAAAAAATCATATATCGCATTTGTTAAATTACCCTTCTTATTATCTATATTTAGTGGCTCATCGAGAAATATTTTTGCAGAGTTAACATATAATAATTTGAAAAAAGAGGGATAAAAAATATAAAAAATTGAACTTTATTAATTTAAATAAATATACATGCATGTGTTATAAAATGCCAAAAAAAAAAAAGGGGGCAATTCATCCTTTTTTTTATTATTAAGTGGATCCGCCACCGTCTAATGTCTATATGGGTCCAAATCTACTTAAAAACACATTCTAAACGCATAATATATTTATGAATTTAAACAATCCATTTTCTTACGAAAGCCATTTAATATTTCTTTCACTATTTATACTCATTTAATTAACATAAGTCATTTATAATTACACCAAATTCCTTAATATAAAATAAGTTATAAAAAATCTTTAAAAAGAATTTAAATTCATAATAAAAAAAATTTTAAGATAAATTTTAAAAATCTAAAAAATTCTATCTTAAAAATATCTACCAATTAAAATTTCATTACAACAATATATCCGAGCATATTTCTAAAATTTTAAATCAATATCCGATTACAAATTTATCACGTGATATTTGTAATTGTCCTAAATATATTCAAGACAAATCCAGTATTTAAGAAAATCCATCCCACTTCCATTCTTAGTGTTAATCAATATTTAAATGAGGATATAACCAATAACGTATTGGTTAAAGTAGTAAGCAATCTTAATTTTTGTAAAGATAAGAACACAAGTTCGATCCTAGAAAACACAATTTTGTTAAGAGGGTAAGAAAATATTTATACTTTATAGTCCGAAAGGAATTTCACCTCTGAGGACATGCATATAAAAATGTGCCAAGTTTTATAAAGTAAAGAAAAACGAAAGCAGTTTTAAATGTTTCTCTTCTGAATATGGAATTTCTATCCAGTTTTAAATTTAGTATGCGTTATGCGTGTATATGCATCCAACAATACCAATTGTTGAGAGTGTTTGTGGGACAATATATGCTTACCTCTTACATATAAAGTTGGACGTCTGTGTTCCTTTTTCTGGCAGAATATATGAAAGTGGGTAGTTCCCAACTTTCATTTTTAATGCTGCTGAAATTATGTGCACTTCCATTACTTAATTATTTATAAAAAAGAATACGCATATGCCTTATAAATATTTATATAGCCATTTAATTAAGAATCTGTGCTTTTTATTCCAAACTAAATGTCCTGTGCATGCTCCCATCTAAGGGACTATATTGTAATTATAGATATGCATATTGTAATTAAAAATAATTTAACAAAGAATAAATCATATCTAGAAGCAGATAAAATTGATCCCTTATGTAGCCAACAGAAATAATTCCTTAAGTTTTAGCTTTATTTATTTTTTATTAATTAGATTCTACACGATATTTTTTCAAATGACTACCCGATAAATTATATATATGAGTTGGAGATTCTAGTGTCAATTGAAATGTCCTATCAATCTATTGGAGAATATATTATTTCTATCTGTTTGGGAAGCATACTCAAGCTTTAACAAAATTTTGTACAATTGATTTATAGCAACTTTGTATAAATTGTCGCACTTCAAACTTCACAAAGGACAACTTTTCTTTTGTGTGTAATATAAAATTGTCGCATCATCCCCACTCCTATAAGACCCGACCGCCTCAATCGGCATTCTGACGAACCCCATGAGACACCGACCCTACGAAGTCAGAGTTCTAATACCAAATGATAAGGATTTGGATCCCTAACTTCGCCCCAAAAGCTAGCTCGTAGGGGAATGACTGAACCCAGCCTTATACACTAGCCCAAGATGTACTCTGCGAGCAATGTGGGACGCATCACTTTAGTCCTCCTTCTCTCTGCCTCTGAATTTGATTATCATATGTAAAAAAATTTATAACTCATTAAAGTTTTCACGTTTCGACGAAATAAGTGAAATATATTAAAAATGAATATTCTAATTCTAATATAATTTTAAAATTTAATGGCCGATAAACTCGTTAAATTTTTCATAAATTTCAAATTATTATTAGAAGATTGCTTTTCAAAATATTAAATATCATTAGAATTTGTTTAAATATAAATAATATAAATAATTTGGTTTATGGCAATTAAGGTTAACTTAGAGAAAGCTTATGGTTGCATTTATCGCTCTTTTCTTCAAGACTACTTAATTGATTTGGGTCTCCCATATAATTTAATTAAGCTCATAATGAATTTTGATCCATCCTCTTCTATGAGTATTTTGTGGCATAGTGCCCTAACTGATAATTTCGTTCCTTCATGAGGCTTGAGATAAGGGGATTCCGTCTCTCCTTATCTTTTAGTGATCTATATGGAACTCTTAGCTTATGCTATTAATTTGGCTTCGAACCAAGGACTTTGGAAGCAAATCTTTTTGAATAGGAGAGGTCCTCCTCTTACTCACCTGTTCTTCAGAGATGATCTCCCTTCATTTACAGAAGCATCTAACGATAGGCATGGCCACCGGTTCGGTTCTAACCAGAACCGAACCGGAACCGAACCGTACTATAGACGAATCGGAATCGGACTGGAACCGGCG